CTTCATTTTCATTCTTGGCAGCACGCTTTTATCATAAGGCAGATAGTCATTAATTTACAGAATCAACGCTGGGAACAGCTTTTGTGATCTCATATTAAATTTTCCCCTGAATCCGCCCCTTGGCAAAAATTACTCACATCGTTAAAAAATATTTAATTAGGCTGTAGTTTATACCCAGCTCACAGGGGAAATGTTGGAATTAATATGATTTGCATGAATTCTGTTTCTCCTTTTTGCGAGTGAGATTAGTTCTGAATTCCGTTCAGGGGTCAGTGACCCAGCCAGGGACTTGTATCGGTGAAGGTCAGGCAGGTAGCGAGAGTGTCCCCTGGGTGGCTTCACTGAGAAGACAGCAGAAATTGCTTTTAATTACAGGCTACCTTAAAGCCAGTGGCTGTTGTTGTGTGAGTTTTTTCTTTTTTTTCCGCTGTGCCATTTGTTTTTGAAGCAACAGATAACCGGGAGAGCAGGCTGTGCGGGAAAGGTTATAGGCCGGAGCCTTGTGATTAGATGTTGAAAATAAAGCTCAAGACCGATACCGGTCAATCTGCGCTATATAATGCGAAGGGTTTCCATAAGAGTTTAGATTTGCCTGAATTGCCCAGGTTTATTTAGAAAGTGCCGCTCTTTAACATAACAGGTCATGCACACCAATGTAATTTACATGGCATTACTGGTCATTAACAGTGCTTTCTTGTTCCCACTCTTCCTTGACAGGCACTAGTGGACTAAGTCTGTAATTACATGGCAAGGGTCTGTACTGGTTAATTACATCAGGTAACTAAAAGGGGTTTACAAGGCCGTTTTTCTGTAGAAACTTCACTTAATGACCAATTCATTACCATGGAATTTCTGAAGGTAGCTTGTGCCCTATAATATGAATGACAATTTACAGGAGGGGAAAATAACAGTTAAAAAAAGTCTTTAGGTTTTATGGAAATGCTTTATGCCAAGTGTTATCAATTGAGCGCTGTGTAATAAGAATCATTAATGTAAGAGTAATTATATGCTATCAAACTTATGATTTTCCATTTAGCTAATGTTAAATGCAATAATTAATTAATGCTGAACCCTAGAGCCAACATCAATTTATTTGATTAGTATATTATAAAGAGGCTCCAATATTTTAACGTTATAACATGTGGAATGAATTTAATGCTGATTTTATTTGCACAGATCAGTTCAATGAGAATTTGGACAAAAGGAACATGATTGCTCATTGTTTTTTTTCCCCTTTCTTCTTTCGGATATGTAGATGACGTATAATTTTGTTGGAAATAAAGGTGTATGATTTTTAGCATGCTTTATCGAACTATGAATTTTTTGTACAAATGTAGTTTTGTCATCTGCTGCTGTAAGTACTTAAATATATAGCTGCTTGTAGAAAAACATTGTAGAAATGTATATTATAGAAATGTTTCACTTGTTATGTACCTTTTTTCTTATACTTACTTTTTGTTCTCCAGTTTTTAGAGTGACCACTGCTTGTGTACAATGCATTGCTGGTTCACCAAAACAAATATAGTATTTCTAGTTAGGAATCATTAAGTGTAATAATTGTAAAGAATAAAATCTGAAAAGGAAGTAAAAAGTCCCTTGGGAAGCAACCAACTGTCATTGTTTTTAAAATGGCAGACTGTATACCACCTTATTTTAAATAAATTCTAGGCTGTTTCTTTAAAATCTCTCTGAAAGACATGTGTGACTACTGTGAGATGCCAGATTAATACAAATGTCAGTCCATTTTCAGTCCATTTGTTTGTTTCCAGTCAATAGTTGTGCTGCAGAATACAAGGCCACCGATATAATATACGTTGAGCATAATATACAATGCGCCTATGATTAAAGAGGGGAGTGACAGTTAACACCCCACCCCAACATTCAAACTCAGGTTTTTGTGTGGAGTCATAATGGTTAAAAATGGCATTTTGTTTGGTCGAGATGCTAAACACAGATAGTGAAATCACAAAGCTTCAGTCAGTCTGATCCATTAGGAAAAAAAAAAAGGAAAAGACAGTCGGCAAACTGTCCATCATGTGATGAAATTTGACAGTAGGGATTATGGCTTTGATGGACCAGAACAGCTAATAGAACGAGCTGACATTTTTGAAACCCTGCTAATTAAGGGTTCCTTCCTTAATATTAAAATAAAGTCTCTGTCTGGCTTTTATGGTTGGAGAATCAGGTGTTTTCATTAATATATGCCAGTCAGTCTTAATAAGCATGGAGGGCAGAGGAAGTTATTATTGAGTGACCTTCTACAAAATAAGCATGTTGCTGAGGGCTCTAACCCTGCCCTGCTCAGGCTGATGAATCTCATTTACAATGCAAAATCCTCTGTAGAAATCCAAGTGTCCTTTATGCAATCACAGAGAATAATCCTTGTGTCTCTTGTAATGTCCAAAATTGCCACTTACCACAACCACTGCTATACAATGAATATTACAATCCATATTATTTTTCCGGCACATTGTCTATATTTCGGCATTTCAGAGATTAGAGGGGAAAAGAAAACGTATTGTCAAGACACTTGTGTTGAAAAGTCAGCTCATTTTAATACTGTTAAAACAGTCATCTACCGTGTTCATGAATTATAATGTACACAATAGGATTGCCGGTGCAGGCTGTGAAAAAGAGATAGCTTTACTATTTCATCTCCATTTTGAAATAGATTTTAAACCACTTTGTGTAATGTATTCACAGAAATGGCAAATTCACACTGAGGTTCTCTTTTCATTATTTGAGCTTAATCCAATTATAAATTTGAATCACCGTTTTTTCCTTCCCAGTAATCCGCCGTTCGATGCTGCTCTTGAGGTTAAAGACACTGATGTAACATGATCTCATTTTTTGGAAAAAAGAAAGAGCTTCTCTCTTACCTTTGTATTTGTGTGGATTCAGCTGTCCCTAATCTGCCTGTTAAGAAAGCCCCATTCTCACACAGGAATCTGTGCTCCCACCTCCATCCTGCCCTGCTCAAGAGACCTCTCCATTCTCCATTCTGTCTTGAGAAGTCTTGAGAAGAAAAAGAGTGAGCCTTTAGAAATTAGAGTGCCATTTTTTCCTGCATAAAACTGGAAAGGAAAAGGAAAGATACCATTTTAGGAGTTCTCAATACATGAATGACGAGCTTTTGAAAATTATCCTGGTACTTATTATACAGCGCTATGTAGTGTTTCTTTTTGAAGTTTGTTGACAGATCATAGTTTGATTAATACATTAGTACTTAAACAACACCACAAAAAGAATGGAATAACACTGAGAGTATCAAATAATGTTCTTTATTCTTTTTGTGCAGTGAAGGCGGAGGAATTTGCCAATAAAATTCAGCGTCATTTAAACAGAGCAGTAACGTCTTGCCAAATTATTTGACAAGTGGCACTAGTTAGGAAGGCAGCTGAGTCTTACTGGGCCATTAAATTGTAAGCTGTTAAATTACTGGAATACTTAACTTCCTATGGACAGATTCTCCTTTGCAATAAGTGATTTTTTTTTCTCTTTGCAGATGTCGAAGTAAGATTAGTCTTAGCACATCTCCTTTTATCACAAATAAGCGGCTTGTCATAAGCTTTATAATACATCTGTTATAAAAAAATAATAACATTAACTACTTTAATGATTTAGTGGCTTCTTAAACTGCTCTGGGGCGCAAGAAAGAGCTCAAGTTTCTGATGTTTTCCCCATTGAAGTTGAAGCTTTCATCACACAAGTTAAATGTCAGAATAATCACTGTCTCCTCCTTACACAAATTGTAAAAATGACTGGTGTTTGGATAAATATCTGCGAGAGATATTTAACTGTTTCATTCAATCAAAAATTAAGATGTTCCTGTTTTTCTTTTCTGCTAGCAATCCCGAAGAAAAGTCTCTTGCAATCAGTTTAGCAGAGTTTTTTTGTTGCTTATGTTCTCCTTTTAATGCATAAAAGTGCCATTTATCTTAACTTAACATAATGACCTTCATTTGTCTTTCAAAGCCTTAAACTGAATAACTGACTTGCTCCTCGGAGATATAACACTATATATATATACTGCAAATATCTACACTACATTTACTGTTCTATGTAAATCAAAAAATGGTCATTACAATACTTAGGAAAATAATTTGATATATGTTTTATATCCAAAGTTGAATTACTTGAATAAAATCCTGGAATAAAAATGTAAAATAAAAAGTTGATCCTGGAATAAAAAAAGCTCCTCAAATAGCTCATTTTTTCAGAAAAGCCTTTGTAAGATATGCAATATACTATAAAGCAGGTACAGTGAATTGTCTATATTATTAGCTTTGTTTAATTTCTTAATTATTGTTTCAGCTCGGAGTAGTAATTTATGAGGGACTCAATTGCTTAGGGGGATTTCACATTAAAAGGATTATTTCCTTGTAATCCCTCTGTCCCCAAAGACTGAACCTGAGCGTCGACAATTGCAGGCCAAAACATTACAATACAACGAAAATCTTGCTGTAAGCAGCAGTTAGTTTACATTCAAGAGCAGATAATTGTTGATTGCTGGATTCTGCACTGCTTCTTCCGCTCATCTTCCATGAGCAGCATCAGATTCCCTCTTATGTACAGAAAGTACCTGATGGATAGACAGTCAGCCCTCATTTCCACAAGTCTGTGCCGGTTATCCCAAGCCCAGATCTTGGCCTGACAAACAACGAAGACGTCACCCTGATTAACGCTATTTGTAAGTGTGCGGCCTGGAGTCCTGTCTCTTCTCTTGTTCAGAGGTCTTTTGGATTGTGTAGTGACAAAGTTGGACACAGCTGTGTCCTGTCGGGTATAAGACGGAGAGGTCTTGTCCAAAGGAGAGTGGAAGGATCCGCTCGGCCACAAATTGATCGCTATTGCCCGATGGGACCTCTGGAAGAGGGAAGCAGGGGGCCGGGAAGGCAAGGGGGGGAAGTGAGCGAAGGTCATCCGGTCCCCGCGCTCCTCCCTGTAATTAGGAAGCGGACCTGAATGCTAATGCCGAGCGTTGACTGTGTGTCCTGTAGGTGGAGTTGACAGGCAGCAGCGTGTTCGACTACGTCCACCCGGGAGACCACGTGGAGATGGCAGAGCAGCTGGGCATGAAGCTTCCCCCAGGACGCGGCCTGCTCTCGCAGGGCACGGCAGAGGACGGCGCCAGCTCAGCATCTTCGTCTTCGCAGTCCGAGACCCCGGAGCCAGGTGGGAATTGCGATCACAATGAGGAGGTTGGCGGGCGGGACGTTTACCAACTGATTGAGCTCTGGTGGCTGGTGTGGGGAGAATATAATCATGCCAGGATGAGAGTTGGAGATTCACAGTCGACGGTCACAGTTGTTTGTGCGTGCTTTGTCCATCCTTTCTTTCTCAAGATGCTTTGTTTCCCTGAGTGGAAACCAGACCACACTGTTTCATCCCTTGACTTAGGAGCCTTGTCTGAAATGCAGTGTTTACGGCAATCATCCTCCTGCTGGTATTTAGGTACTTTTCTTTTACTTTAAATTTCTTAAAATCGAGGAAAAAAAACACATAAACTTATCATGACATTTCCGTGTTTCTCCTCCTGATGGATTTTGGTTATATTTGTGGCATGGCACAATATTCGGGTCTGGTCAAATGTGTGATGTTGCCCTTAATCATTGCAAATCACAAGCAAGTTCTTTCTTCCCGAGGTGTGAGATCTACAGTAGTTATTCCTGTTCAGTACATTCCCAAAGAGAAAGTATGAAACCAGGCAGCCAAATTAATATCCCAATTCTGTGATGACATGCTGTTGTTTTCCATTTTGAGTTCTGGTGAGACTACATACTAGATTCCTGTTAAGATTTTACTGAACTTTAAAAAGCTCTGTGCTGCCTTGTGAAGTGAGGTTTCTTTTGGAAAATGAGAGAAATTTTTCAAGAGCTTGTGGTTCCTGCTCTGTTTTTCCAGTGTTAGAACGACATAAGTTGCATGGGTTGTGAACATGCTCAGTTTTTATTTGCTGGATCCATTACTATCGTTTGCTCAAACAGACCAAGTTGTGGGCCCCGTTTTATATATATATAATATAGGGACCAGTATATTTCAGTAAGACAAAGTTATGTTAATTTTCTATGCAGAAACTGTTAATAAAGTTTTGTTTTTCTCTGAGTGGTGGTCTCAATTCAGATTTGCTCCTCTCTGGTGAGTTGGTACTCCTGCTTGAATTAGCTGCTCATTAACATCGGAATTGTACAGTGTATTATTGCCTCTGTTAAAAATGCATTCAGTTTTTGATTTATCAATCACTTTATAGTTCATCATGGACATTTTATATATTAGGTTATATGCTCTGTACCCCTAATCAGTATTGTTTATTTTTGTGTTTTATGTTTGCAATGTCATAAATATTCAGTATTGCACTTAAATCTTCAGAGCATCACAAGTTAAATATGGAGTTAGATGTGAAGATAGAATGACAGGCCAAAAGGATTTTCTCTCTCAGTGAAGAACTTGTAAGTGAAGCTACTAATTATCTTAGGAAAATCATGGTTTGTGAACATTTTTTAAAACCTCCAGGTACATGTACTGTATTGGTTAAAAACGGCTTTGAACCGCTTTCTAAATGAGGAGGGGGCATCTTCTTCATTTGGGAAAACTGGCTGCGTTTCAGTTTTTGTCGCCTGCAGCCAGTGGTCTTTGGTGTGTGGGTTTCTGGCCGTCTGGAGGGCAGGGCGTGATGGGACGGGGTTGAACTGCCTTCTCAGTAATGTCAAAAACGGGGCCGAAACGGGCTGAAAAAGAAAAGCCCAGTACTGTAACATAGGCTTACCATCCTCTGAATTTAATTAGAGAAATTATAGAGAGAAGATGAAAAGAGGTGACATTCCTCATTGGAATTCCTTTCAGGGCTGTTATAGACTTTGCCTTCAGAATGTTCCCATTTTCATTGTGTTGTACTGATGATAATTTAAGTATTAGGGGAAAATCCATTTATAAATTAAACAAAATGACTTGATATCCATCAGTCCCTTAGTTCATCAAGCTGTTCAAACATGAGGAAGATTGGCTGGTCGGCCTGGGTCTTCGGAGAGCTCTGGTAATTAGATCTGCGAAGGATTTATTCTTTGCTGATTGGGGCTTTAAATTAATTGAAGTTCCACATTTGTGGTTTTGTCCTTTTTGTGCTTTTTTAGAGGAGATATTTCATACTCGTGTGTGGTAGAGTGACGGCCCAGGCAGGAGTGGTTTCCAATGTTAATTTCCTCATGAGAAGTTGAAGAATTTAATGAGCGGGACTGACATTGAGATTTATTTGTGTACACAGGGACTCATTATTGTTCCGCTGTAGTATCAGGGAAAGGGCACTGAGCAGTTTTAGGGCGAGAAGTCTTTTTTTTTAATGAAAGCCTCAAAGAACTTACAGTAGGTCTAAGAGAATGCAGTGCAGTTAGAGGGATAAATACGTTTTCATTGTGCTTTGCTGCACACTTTGCTTTTTTTTTAAATTGTAGTTTAACTTCAGCTGAATCACAGTTAGCAGGTCATCACCCAGTCTGGGCTGAGAACTTTATTTGCAATATGTTCCATCTAATATACTGTATATAAGCACCTGTCTTTGGCAAGACCTTGATATGATCATATAAATATTTACCATTACACATTTTTTTTCTTCACAGTACAAAGGAATATATGTTAAATTTATATTATATTTTACATAATTTTTGACTGTGTGTATTTTAGAGCTTTCCTTACAAAAACAAATATTTATGCTGCATTTCTGAACATTAAACAAAAAAGCTGATGGCTTCCTATTCCACCGAATGATAATTTATAAATCAGATTCAGGACTCTGCGAGCTCAAGCATATAATTACCTACATTATAAGACTTATTTATTTAAAATCATCTGTTGGTTTATTATGTATACGATGTAGTAGTTTTCTCCAGTTAATTTACTAATAGAATTCCTAACTTTAAGCTGACTTAATCTAAATCTAAATCTGTTTTGATTTTTTAACTTGTTGCAGTGTGTTTGAGCCTTAAAGTTACGCTTATTGTGTTATATATAACATAATATATATATATATGTTTTCAGTATTTTCATTTTTTTATGAAAGTTATGTCTATGTTCACTCATTTGTATTGAGCATGCCTGGAATCCAAACGCAGCTGTGCCACATGTGTGTAAAGAAGATTGGAATTGCAAAAGGTGATCCAATTCTCTTTTCGTTGAGCCACAAATAAGCAAGCAGTCCAAGCATGTAGCAGCTACAGACCGGCTAGGAGACACGGCTACACTGTGCTGGTGGGGCTCTGTGTTTCAACTATGTATTTGTGAAGCTTCCGAAAATGAGAGTGGGGTCACCTTTTGTGTTTTTTTTTAACACTAACTAAGGGCAATTATGCCATTATCGTCTTTTTCTGCTCTAATTTATCTTTCCACGCACGACCACTCTCCCTCAATCCCCCTTCTTTTTTCTCTTTCCTCTCTGACACGCTCACAGAATCCTGGTAAGATTCAGGCAGGGAGGGGTGTAGTCCACTGGCTGTGAGCCTCAGGGCCTGTTACCTACAAGACCAGTTCAGAGCATTATTAAAGTGTGAGCATCACATCCCTGTTGAAATGGAGCAATTCTGTAAGTGGGCCTAATTTTCCACAATAAGACCCTGAGGAGTAGTTAGGTTTTCACCCCTGGCTATTACTAATTCTATACATAATTGTGCCAAAAGCCAAGATAATCAGACTAGAGGTGTTGCTGAAGGGTTTTTAATCAATCTGGGAAGTCAGAAGTGTGGCTCTTCTGTACTGTACCCACTGTTTATACATATATTGAAAACCTTCTGTTACCTGGTGCAGACAGAGACCACTGAGGGCTGAGCATACCAACACTCCTCCTATGACTACCACAGGAGCTACTGGTTACAGTGATAGCAGAATTAAAATATTAGTAAAATCTGATAATCTGCTGCTTAACTGTTTCACTTTAAAACAGTTTATCAGTTTAATCTTTATGTTTAATTTACTGTGCACATTTTCCAGTAGCAGAGAAATCTGTTTAAACAATATTATAAATGACTGAAATTTAATTTTGAATTATCCAGAGGTAAAGGGAGGCTAAATAAGGATGATTTTTTAAATTATTTTATACATCTTTTATTGTATTTTTAAAAGGCAGATTCATTTGTTGAATGTTTTGTAATTGTAACTGTGTCAATTGATTCAAGTTCATTTACTTGTATTTCATCTTAACTTTTACATCAGTCCCATGGTTATAACAGTTGTAAATCAACATTAATAGGATTTAACAGCGAGATTTCAACATGTGAAATCTTTACAGCAGGTGTAATTAGGCATCATAATTCTTTACATTAATACTGCAGTTTCAATACAGCTATTCAAATTGAATTTAAACTTTGAATGTAACCCTCATGAAATTAGTACATAAAACAGAACAGCTTTGTTAATGTGCATGTGATTTGCTAAATAAAAATGTACAGTATAATTTGATTTCTGTCATAGCATTTTAGGTCAGGTGTAATGTTATTAACATAATTTTTAAAATGTCTTTGTTGTTTTTTAATGGTCGGGGTTATTTTAATTTTTACAAAAGCAATCCCAAACAAGCAGTGAAAAACAAAGTGCTTGAAGTTCCAACCACACGTATTATTAATTTAGATCCGTGTAAAATTGTGTTGTTGCTCCGATGTGATGTGCGGTTCTGTCCCTCAAGGTTTAAGCATTATTATTTTCCATAAATTCCCACAATATCTTCAATGTACTTGCTGTTGTTATTATTATTGTGCCATAAATGTAAATGAAGAAGTAAGTTTATCTTTTTTGGCATTAAAAGAACTATGGAACAAATTTTAGTACCTCCAGCTATTAGCAACTGCTGTCGGTTGCCTCGGGTTCTATAACCCAGTGCATCCCAGTAGGTGAGACCTTTGATTTTTCCTGTTGCTTCTCTAGCTTTTAACAGACTTCAGCGGCTTGTGGCATTTGATATGCAAATCCCGATCTTTTCCACTCGCCCCAAACTTTAGTTCGTGATCAGCTGCAAAGAGTAGACTGCTCTTTGCCTGGGCTGGTAGGGACAGGGTGCCATGTTTAGCTCAATATCTTCACTCATGCAGACGCTAGCTACCAGGGTGAAATTTTGGAGGGTGCAAATATAGTGTCAGCTCCTCCATTCTTAAGCTCCTTATAATTCTGAAAGCCCCAAGGAATTTAGACTTGAT